AATACGCCTCACTGTCATAATATGACAGTAAAATGTATTTGTCGTCCCCTTAAAAAAATTAATATTATATATTTATTTAAAAATATTAATAAACAATTTGACCTCTAAACCATAAGTTGTATGACATTATTTCATAAAAAGTAAAATTTGAAAATTTTGTGGGATAAGTCAGATTAGATTGAAGTTGAAGATTATTATAAATAAAAATGTTAATTCAGAAATAAATAATCGGTATACAAATTAATAAATATTTTTTCTTTTAAATAAAATACAATACCTGTAGTACCTAAGTAGTATTTTTGTTATCGAATATTGTTTTAATTTGACAAATAACAATAAAAAACCTGTCAATTGAGCGATTATATTGAGTTTTTTTTACAGGAAAATCAGTATTTTAAAGAAAGAAATGGGATTTATTACACTTTAAAATTGTATATATCGCATCAGTGCAAAACTCTTAGAAATACACGCGTTAAAATTTCTATATTATGCACAATCCATTGGAATGATGATCCTTTGTTAACTACAGGTCGCTGCTAACACGTGTCTAATAAAAATAAAATATAATATTGAATTCATTTTATACGGAAAATACACTGTGAGTCTCACAGTGTGAGACAAAGTAACCCGCAACCAGATTTTAATTTTAATTTTTGAAACTCAGCCATATGTAATATTATAACATAGTTATTATGAAAGAGCAACTCAAGAAATTTTGGCATACAAAATTTAATGTTTATGATTCTTAAAACCACAAAAATTTTAAGCTGAAGTTTGAAAGTGAGTCAAAGCCTCCCGTGTTTACGGTACTTAAGTATAGGCCTATACTATATACCGGTATATACCTTTATACGTAGTTTATGGTATATTTTACTATTATATAGGTAACTGAACTAAATATGCTTAACATGAATATTCCTAAACGAACTTTCTATAGCAATTACTTTTTTTAACATTCTAAGCATATGTTTAGAGTAGACTAATTTTAACCACTAAAACTTTGCACCTTCTAAGAACCTGCCTATAGGCCAGAATATTCTTAGGATCATGCTATATGTCTTTTAAGCATGTTCTTTAAAAGAAATATTCTCACTGAAAGGTTTAAAAAACATTCTTAGAATAAAGTGTGCTATACATTTGTCCACATATTATACTTCAGAAATATGTATCACGTAGGTACCTAGGTTGGAAATAATCAAAAATCATTTTTAACTTAAAAACATAATTTTTTTATTAGAATATCTAATCCTATTTAATTTAAAGGATTTTTTAGGTAAAATTATATTGTCCATTGAACCATATCTAGCTTCTTTAAGTTGACAAATTAGTATAACTAGATTGTGAAAAAATATTTATTAATCATCATTTCAAAAATACCCAGTCTGGATATTTATCGGTGCGTGGTAAGTACTTGTACACCGTGAACTGTTTTACGTAAATTGAAGTAGGTACCTACCTACCTATATAAAATAATAAATACATGGTCTTATTGCATCCAAAAATTTTAAGGGGTGAAAATATAAAAAAGGATCCTAAAAATACGTCACCGTGACAAATTTTTCCCCCTCTTAAAAATTGATGCTTCAGCTGTTTACACCAAAAATAAAAAAATTAGTATTTAAAACTAGTTTTGTCGAGTTAAAAAATATTACGTACCATTTATAAATAAACTGAAAGGTGTAAGGTATATATACATATGAGTAAATGTTAATGGGATGTTCGGTAATAGATCTATTAAGTTGAATGAATGCTCTGGATTCTATCTAAAAGGTTCGGCCATTCTACAGTTAATTAAAAAATGTATTATCAAGGGTATTTACTAGAGAAAGGATTGCGGGCAAAATTCATGTTGTAAATTTTGATACCTAGGCCTAATTAAGGACATTTTTTACTATTTTTAGTATTTTAGATTAATAGTTTTTATCCAATTTTAAAGACTAAAGTAGGTATCTTTTGAACGTAAAAAGGTATCTACATGGGACAAAAACAATTGTCAAGGATATTAAGTATACTTACAACTTTTTGACGTCAAATTGACGTCAGATTGATAGACAACCCTATTTGCAGAAAATATCTACGGGAGTTAGTTACTAAATTTCAAACTGGAAGTGTGAGTGGACAAAAAGGATCTAGTAGAAAATCAATCTCAGAAGACAAAGAAATAAAAATATTAGGTTCCGTCATTAATAATCCACAACAATCGACGTATGTAATATAGCAAAATCAATTGTTAGAAAATATTTAAAACGTAACAAATTTCATTAAAATCATTGAAAATTTTGATAAATTTGTTAATAACTTTTATGTAGTTTGCGTTCATAATGACTTCATTGTAACACAATCCTTTTTTTCTTCTTTAACATTAACAGCCGCTTATTGTAAATAAGTAAGGACGGCATGGCGAATCGATTTTGACATTAACTGTCAAACCAATGACTGTGATACCAACTATCTAAAGTAAAATTCACCAAATTAAATATAAGGTATAAAATTATTTTTTTATAGAATTTTTGCAAAATGGATAAAATAGCATAAAGAACTAATGTCATAAGACTAAAGTCTATAGTACATTATAATGTACTATTATATTTTTTTTCTTTAAACCTGTGCTAAAGAAGACTCACTAAAAATAATTAACTTTATAATAAGTTCACTATAGTGAACTATATATAGTGAACTCTGTGAATAAGTTGAAACTAGTCACACTGAATAAGGGAGAAGACATTTTAACCAAGTTAAAATGGCCAAAGCAATTTTTTTTTTGGTTGTAAGAAGGCTCCAAGTTTAGACAACGACAAAAAGCCACTTGTTACTGTAAATAAAATTATTAACACATGTCCATATATGGATTTAACCTTTGGCCATGTAAGTGTGTATTGTCTGAGGATATTACATAAGCCGTCACATAAACAATCGTTATGACAAAAAAAATGACTGTCGCGGACGCACATCGCACAGATTTACATCGAAAAGGATACAATGACATGCTTTCTTATTTCGTTCAGCAAAATGCGCGGTTTGTCGGTATTTTTACTTAGAAAGTTTCGTGTTTACATGCCGGTGCTGCAAAATATGTAAAAAAAAACATAAACTTATAACACATTATTATTGTTAAACGTGTGTTTAAAAACGATAATAAGCAATGATTTTTACCTTGTTATTTACTCAATTTGGATTTTCATGATCTGGTTGCTTTTCAGGTTGATATATATAGCTACTATATTATTATACATTATATACATACAATCAATATTTAATTATTTTTAGTTTATTTACGACATGGGCTGCTTTTAAATTTTTGAAACGAAAACATTAAACAAAGTAAGCTATCGATTCACCAGTTGGTTGAGTAATGAAAATATTGCTCCACTAGTGGACGTATACTATAGTACAGCTATTTTTTACATACAGGTGATACATATACATATACTTACATAAATATGAATAAATATATATAAAAAATCTGTGATAGGAAAACTTAACCTCAAAATAAAAACACATCTGTCAATAATCCCATTAAGGGAAGTTCACACTACGGTGCGTTCATAAAGTGTTAAATTTTAATTCATTTTTGATTTGATTGTGGGACAAAATTATATGTAAAACTCGCACTCTTTTTACGCTTGCTTCGCTCGTGTCTCAAACAAATGCTAGTTCATAATCGAATTTTTTACTTAAAAAAAAATAAACTAAACTAAACGTAGATTTTTGGTTATGCATAACTTTTGAAACTATGTATATAAACAAAATGAGGTCAAAAGTTGCCCAACTTTTGTAGAATCACCCATATATACATTTTATACTATACTATACTATTTTATACTATACTATTTTGTTATGAGAACATAGATAATATAAAAAATATACTGTTCCAGACCGGGCCAGTCACTTTTTCAAACAGTTTCTGAAATATCTGTTTTCTAAATTTGAATGCAAGGGAAGTGGCGAGTATACCAGGGTACTAATTAAATACATAATTTATTGAAAAATATAAAATTTATTGCAACTTTGAGCATATTATACATTAAATATCTTAAAATCAAATAATAACACACATCAGTACTGATGTGTGTTATTATTTGATTGTGGCGGCTGGTGGATTTTGGGTATGCCGATATCTCAATTATTAGATATGGGACCCACACCAAATTTATATGAGTTTATAATGACATTAAATAAACAAGTTCTGCGCAAGCAGAATTTAAATTGAAGTTTGCGAAATAAGATAACCGAAACATCGAACATGGAACTGACGACACGGTACTGATGAATGGGATACAAATATGAGATTATAATTCGGAATTAAGTATTTTACTGATATTTTTTATTAGTAGATGCTACTTATTAACAAATCACATATAGCCTTATATAAATTACAATAAAATATATATACGTAACGAAATAACTACTCACCACAGTACTGAAATTTTGACTGGAACTATACGTGCATTCACCACAACTTCGCCGCTTGCATTGTTTTCAAGATGACTGTCGTGCAAAGGGCGGGCTCAGTATATCATTTTTTTCCAACACTTGAGTTTATAAACGAGGACTTGACGTTTAAACTTCAATATTTCGCAGGAGTTTTGAATTTTAACGTATTTTATGTAGTGAAATTGAAAAATTTAAGATAAATTGAATATATTTTAAAATAAAATCACTCAAATATTTGATTCAGGAGTTGTGACACGCCAAGGTACCTACTTTACTGATGTTTTGAATATTTATTATGTTTTTCTACAAACGTGCTTTTGAAAAAATACATTAAAATTGGGTGGACAAGTTAAAAAAACCTGGATCTTTTGTAATATACTAAAATATTTACAAAAAATATTAAAATACCTACTCTATTGACTGATGACATCAAGTTGTCCAACTTTTGTAGAAACACCCATATGCTATAGCATAAATAGTAAATATCCCTAGTAAAAGAGGTAGTTTTCTTATCTACGGTTTATAAACATAATATACATAATTAAAATAATGTTTTTTTTTTACAGAAAGATGTCTTCTGTGCGATGGAAAAATCTAATATGTAAGTAATTTTAGAAAACTCTTTCACGATCTTGTAAAAAGTTTATAAATGAATTCACTTTAAAAACCTGTCTTTGAATTTAATTTAAAAACTTATTTAGGTACACCCAAATATCTAAAAAAATACTAAGTGTTCCATTGAAAAAAAATGGAAATATATGCAACGAGTAAGAGAGAGACGAATGTATTTCCCACCATAGCTCGACGCAGTCGAGACCGCGTAGCCTGAATAATTAATTTTATTTTATTAGGTGATTAAAAACTGTTTGTAAAATAAATTAAGAATAAAAGCGTAAGTAAAACTTTCGTTTATACAGAAACAGTTATAGTGGTTCGATTTAAAAAGCAAACTCATATTTTATTATTTTTCGCCATATGTTGACCAAAAAACCTTCGTCCATTTAAATGTCGAAGAAAGTTTCAATTAACAAGCTTCTTTTAATTTAAATATCAAAAAATGATCTACGTCTAAAGAAATGGAAAAAATAAAAATTTGTGCAACTGGACGAAGATTTCAAGCAAATTTTAAAAAAATTAGAGCAAAAATAATTATGTGTGAATTATCTGTTTTTATTTGCACATACTTGTAATTAATTTTTTTTTTCAAGCGTATAATAATTTTCACATTACACTCATTAGCATATACAGGGTGTTATGTAATTAATGTAATATATTAAAATGGGTAGTTGCACCTGAAACTTTTTTTCCTCTAAATTCTAAAGACTAAAAATAATTTATAATAACCTTTATCCTACCAAAAAGTACGCCACTGATAGACTAGGAACTCTAGGCTAATCTGGTTGCCTAATTTTATTTATTATGTTATGGTTGGTAACAACTAGCGTTTCCAGATTCTGTCGAAAAAGTTGCCAAATTTTGTTTAAATTTAGCTTAACTACAAAAATGACAAAATCAACAATGCAAATTGTCAATTTGGCGTTTTTATTAATTATTGATTATGTCATTTTAGCAATGAAGGTAAATTCAAACAAAATTTGGCAGAATCTAGTGCATTTATTTTAAATTTTAGGTTATTTGCTCAAATTGTAAATATCTTAACTAAGGGAAGTGCTTTTGGATTTATTCACACAAATTGAATGTTTAAAGTTTAACCTGTGAACTTTTCCTAATTTCATCTAAGTAAACAGAAAGAAAAAAACCGATGAAAAAATTAATTTTGTGGTTATGGAGTTTTTTAAAATACACTCACAGGCAAAATAATCGACCCACACAAATTTTCGATGAATTTCAATCGCAAATAACTTTTTTATTTGATGTCGGATTTAAACGAATATTTAAGATTATTGAAGATAAATTCATGTACAATCGCTCGCATTTTAAAAAATTACTAAAAAATTGACGTACGTTTATAATATACAGGTTTAAACAAAAAGATGTTTTTTACCATAAGTATATTGTTCTAAATTAAGTTTTATTTATCATTGATAAATTATCAAGTCACATCTATTCTTAACAGTTTTGTTTTTGGTTCACCTCGATATATTTATTTCTGTGGAAAATATGGATTTTTTAAAAAAACATTGCAATTTTCAAATTTTTTCTGTATGAAGAATTAAGGTTGCTATGGTCCGTCCATAGGCTATGGAGAATTACAGTGACAGTTTTGTTGAATCATCCCATACTTGGACATGTCATATACAGCTTTCAAAAGCTATCAAATTGTTTTTTGTAAATTAATTTGTTAATTTTGAGGTGTCTTCTTACTTTTAAAAATGTCTCCGACTGATGTTGCCCTTTGTACTTTACTTCTTGTGACGTTTAAAACACTTGCCACGCAATACTGTGACCGTCCATCCTGGATTAAATTAATGGCTCTGGCAACATCAGTCGGAGACATATCCTTGTTTTAAAGTAAGAAGACACCTCAAAATTTAAACATTAATTTGCAAAACACAATTTGATAGCTTTTGAAAGCCGTGTATGAAAGGTCCAAGTATGGGATGATTCAACAAAACTGTCACTGTTATCCTCCATAGCCTATGGATGGACCATAGCAACCTTAGTTCTTCATACAGAAAGAATATTGGAAATTGCAATATTTTTTTAAAAAATACATATTTTCCACAAAAATAAATATATCGAGGTGAACCAAAAACAAAACTGTTAAGAATAGATGTGACTTGATAAATAAAACTTAATTTAGAACAATATACGGTTTTGCCACTCTACAGAGTGTCTTAAACTTATGGTAAAAAACATCTTTTTGTTTAAACCTGTATATTAGGGTGGGCCGAAAATCCGCTTTTTTAGAATTTCGTTTAGTAATAGCAAAAATTTTGTTCATTATGTTGTAAAAAAATTTTGTGTAAAAGATTAAAATTTTCGATCAACATCCTAGGCTCGCCCAACGCAATTAAAGATCAAAATGTTCAAAAAAAATTTTTCTTAATTTATTTCGATCGGAAATTTTATGCTCTACACAAAATTATTTCAGATGGATAGTTTCAGAAATTTGTTCATTATGTTGTAAAAAAAAAATTGTGTAAAAGATTAAAATTTTCGATCCTCATCCTAGGCTCGCCCAGCGCAATTAAAGATCAAAATGTTCAAAAAAAAATTTTCCTAACTTAATTCGATCGGAAATTTTATGCTCTACAAAAAAGGTCCTTACACTAAATTACTTCAGATGGATAGTTTTAGAAATAAAACCGATTTTAGTATCAAAATTTTTTTGAACATTTTGATCTTTAATTGCGTTGGGCGAGCCTAGGATGTTGATCGAAAATTTTAATCTTTTACACAAAATTTTTTTACAACATAATGAACAAAATTTTTGCTATTACTAAACGAAATTCTAAAAAAGCGGATTTTCGGCCCACCCTACTGTATATTATAAACGTACGTCAATTTTTTAGTAATTTTTTAAAATGTGAGCGATTGTACATTAATTTATCTTCAATATTCTTTAATATTCGTTTAAATCCGACATCAAATAAAAAAGTTATTTGCGATTGAAATTCATCGAAAATTTGTGTGGATCGATTATTTTCCTGTGAGTGTATATTACATTAATTACATAACAACCTGTAGCCGTTTAATTCAACTACAGAACATGAAATTTATTATACAAAAATAAAATTTGTTTAGTAAAACCATTTTTAATTATAGTTATTTCTTTAAGTAATTATATTAGATTGTGTAAATGCATATAGTTATCTTACAAAAAAGGCAATATTCACTCACATTACAAAACAGATGCAATCGCATCGAGAGATCTTTAATTACCGATTAACAAACACCGCTTCAAATTTTTCTTCCGAATTTTGCACAATGGATAAAGTAACAAAATAAATATGATTTTAGTTGAAGAGGTTTCTAGTTTCTAAATAATTAGCGTTCAGCCTGCTTTGCGCTTGTCATTTCCTTATTATTAATCAAAAATTTTATGGAGCGCGTCGGACGTAAGCCATTTGTGGTTACTTATTCTGTAAATAAATTGAAAATGGCGCAAGCTGATGATAGATTCATTATATTTTATTCAAACAGATAAGTACCTCGTAAATTTTCGTGTTAAATAACATGGTTTATGTAAGCTTTCAGACCATGCTACATTTAATGTTTTAATTTTTATTTTTTATGAAAAAAAATAAAAAACTAACCAATTGTATAACCCATAACTCATATTTTAGGAATTTTGCTATAAGTTTGATATTTTCCTTAAAATTTACTGTACGAGGTGTGTTCAGAAAATAACGGAAATTGTTAAATTTCGCCGGTTCGGAGGGTCCGGTTGTCATAAAATTTTCTTTATTATGTTGGTATACATGCCCCCGAAGTATGATAAAAACTTTAGCTGTTTTCATTGTTTACTTTGTCTGTGGCAGCCGCTAAGGTTAGACGTGTTTTATGAGCTTGGCGATTTTCGTTCGTTCGAAAGAAATGGATCAAAGAATTTGTATCAAATTTGGCTTAAAAAATGAAATAAATTCTGTGAAATGTTAACAAAGGCCTATAGTGAGTCTGCTATAAGTAAAACAATAGTTTACAAGTGGTATAAGAGTTTCCAAGATGGCCGTGAAGACGTTGAAGATGACGAACGCCCTGAACGCCCAGGCACATTAAAAACCGATAAAAACATGGAAAAAGTGGAAGAAATGGTTATAAACCATCAGAGAAGTCGCTGATGATGTTGGTATATCGATTGGCTCATCCCATGAAATTTTTTCGAATGTTTTGGGTATGAGGCGCGTGGCAGCAAAATTTGTTCCAAAATTGTTAAATTTTGAACAAAATTTTTGTCCAAAAACAATACGGTAATGATGCCCCAGCCTCCATATTCGCCAGACATGCCTCTGTCTGACTTTTTCCTATTCCCAAAAATCAAGAGAACCTTAAAGGGCCGTCGTTTTGCAAGCATAGATGACATTAAAAGCGCATCGCTGAAAGAACTAAAGGCTATCCCAAAGATCGAGTTTTAGAAGTGTTTCGAGTATTGGAAGAAGAGCTGGCACATGTGCATAATATCCAATGGAGACTATTTTGAAGGCGACAACATTAATGTAGACGAATAAATAAATATTTTTTTCAAAAAACGATAATTCCCGATATTTTCTGAACACACCTCGTAAATTCAACTTTGACCTTGAACAACTTTTAAAAGAGTAAATCTATCATAAAATAATCAAAGACGTTTTTTGTAGAACTTTTAATTCCCTACAAAAAATACGTCTTGATCTTTCTGGTGTACTGATCTGTTGAAGAGTTATAATTTTTTACCAAACATCCTGTTTGCAAATTAATACGGATAATTATTAAAATTTCACTTTTAATAGTTTTAGTGTGGATATGCATCGCCCAAGCAGTCACAGAGGCAGCGAGAGATAAACAACATATGCAGGTTTGTATTCAATAATTTATTTGCCTACCTATACGCTAAAGAAGTATCGCTAGTAGCGCCACCACTCGGTTGTTATCATCGTAACAAAAGTATAACTTTTAATAATCAGCTGTTAAACGCTTATGTTTATCAAAAACACTCGTTTGTAATACAAATGAGTGTTTTTGATAATAAAGCCTGAAAATGTTAAAAAATATCGAAAAAAAAAACCGTGGCTCGATTTGTTTTGTTGTTGGGTGTATTTCGAGAGGAAATCCTGGGTTGAGTTTTTACCGGTTTCCATTAAACAGTGTTAATCCGCATGAAGAAATAAATTGCATACAGTCTCTGTAAATATAAATTGTACCTATTACATACAATAAATACCAGTGGCGGCCCGTGACATTTCATTTTGGTGAGGCAGAGGCAGGGTTTCGCCCTTATTTAAAGGCGAAGAAATTTTTTTAAACCCAACTTAAACTTAAATCTTTAAAATTTCTCACCGTAATATCCATAATGACTAAATTCACATAAATCACCAAGTTCAATTAACTAAACCCACGGAATAAACCACTTACAAAAGAATCATAAAATAGACAAACTCATAGAAAAAGAATAACCAAAATATTGCGTAAATAACACAGATTAGTTCTTTAAACAGTTCAGAATTTTATAACCAAAACAAACCTAAAGAAGGAATCTGTATTTATTTTATTGGTTACTGTGATGGCTACAAGATGGCGATAGTGTTAAAATATGTTTATTTTAAATAGAAATATAATGTCGATTAAATCGATTTATTATAAGAAAAATAATACCATTTATTATTGAATTTTTAAAAACGTGTGAAGTATAATTTATCTAAAATTTCGCAACAGTGTTGCCACAACACCTGCTTATTTCCTTGGATGTAGGCGTGCCTGCCTCGCGTATGCTAATACGAGAGAAGGAGACAACTATGATATCGCATTGTAATAGAACGAGACAACAAGGCTAACGCCAATCGTGAGTCTAAATTAGTTCAGGCATGCTTCTGAGCCAATCATCCAGCTATAAACATTAGTTTAAATTGCGGTCGTTTCAAATTCAAATAATTTAAATGTTGCTGGGTATTCCACGTATAAAATCAATCAATTTTATTGACCATTTCACAATTCATGTAATCCAAATATTAAAAATTTATAGTTTATAAATGATGTATCTACAGTTCGTATGGTTTAAATGTATTGTTGACAATTCTTAAATTCACGCAATGCATTCGAAGTCCACCGATTCGAAAACCCGATACTTCTTTAGCGTATAGGTACTGTTAACCTCTTTCTTCTTTTGCATTTTTTAGTGATTATAATAAGCACTCTTATTCATATTGAAATTGATAGAAAAAAAATTGTAGAGAAATTTCTACAAAGTAGCCATGATTACAAAAACTTAAATAAAAACCGCATGATGATTAAGGTCAATTGTTAACAAACCACAAAATAGTTATAATGTTTACGGGCGGTATTATGTAAAGGGTATGGTGTATTAAAACAACGACGAAACATGTGTAGCACTTTGTTTTACACTATATCTTTATTTGTGTTAAGTGGACTACAAATACCCGACATGCCATAGAATAAATATGAAATTAAAGCTTTCTATTTGCACAAAAAACTACAGTGTTTATATTATTAATAGCAAACTATTCCAGGATACCATTGCAATGACAGCTGACGGTTGGAGGCCCATTGTGGGTCAAGGTCGGCGACCAACCTTTAACAACGACGAGATAACCCAATACCGCAATCCGATTGGTCCCAGCGAGGTTATCAAGAAGGCCGAAACGCCCGGAACGCCTGCTACGACCCTATCATCCCCAAAGCCCACGCCTAAAATGCCCACTAAAGCCACGCATGGAGATAGGGGCAACTTCAAAAAATTCCGTAAGTAAATTTTGACAGCTTCTAGCATTTTTAATGCTTCAGTTAATGCTTAGCATCAACAAAATCCGTCATACCCAGGGAACCAGCCAAGTTTGGTGTACGATATTTTACATTTGATGGGGTTTATTTTTTCTAATTTCTTATTTTCTAATATTTTTTGTTATAATTAATAAATTGAAATACACAATGTTTTATGTGCCTGTATTTGTAATGTATACTTATTTATAAAGCATTTTATTTACCCAAATATTATCCAAAAAATTAATAGATATTGTAACGTTTTTACGGTTCGTAGTGTGAATTAAAACACGCACTGGTTTATTAACGAACTAAACGATTTATTTTATAACTTAATTACACTTAAAACACTTAAAAACTATAAGGGCCGGTTTTTCAATTAAGGTTTAGAGGAACTTAGATCAGTTAATGAACTCAGTTCACAGTCAAATGAGTTTTTCAATGTCGACTCAACAGCAGTTCTGTTGAACTTAGATCAGTGGTGTCAACGTTAAGTTGGTACAACCGAATTTAGTATACGCCTACATTAATAGTTAAAACTGTCATTTTGACAAAAGGATTTTGTGTTTAATTTTGGAGTTTTGTTTATCTGGGCTGTTTTAAAAAGTTTTAATCTGAGCGAAAGGTTGCTTTAAAACAATTTACTATTGTTAAAGAACAATAATTATTATTTATTATGGATAAAAATCGTGCTGCCAACTTTACCTCTTTTAAGGAGGAATTATTTGTATGTATTTCGTTTTATAGTATAAAATAAATTTGTCGTTTTTTGTTACATGTGATCAATTTTACTAAAATCTATTAGCTATTCAGTAATTATTTTTATAACTAACCTATTGGTCGGATTTGCAATAACTGCAATAACTGGTCTAATTAAATCCACTATCCTACGTACAACAGGTTTGGAAAACCGAAATCTGGCAAAAAATTCATCATTATTCCACCTTTCAAAATGATTCGGTCTTACCCGTGGCCTGTGCACACGAAGTTGAATATTATTTAGGAATTTCCTCATCATCCTCAATAACTACTTCAAACATATCCATTGGTTTATTATAACAGCAGATCACAAAACAAGAAATAAACAACGTAATACACAATAAAGCAAAGAAAAATTAAGTTATGTCAAGTTGAACTTCCTTTAAACGGCCAACAGTGACGGTTCATCGTTTGATTTAGTTTAAACCTAATTCAAGCTTGAACTTTGATTGGAAAACGGCATATTTTGTTTGAACCAAGTTCAAATGCTGAACCAAGTTTAAACTATGATTGAAAAACCGGCCCTAACTTAACTACTAGTTATTTATATATCACTACTGTACAAGAGTCTATTTATTTGCACGTATATTTATTTTATTTCGTCGCGAGTACCAAAACTTAACTGACTGCTCCATGCTGCGCTGTTCCTTATATATTCAGTGCCTACGTGACACTAGTCACGCAAGCGCCTTCCCGAACATTCCAGCGAGCTCCGGTGTGCTCTCTATCGCTCGAGCGTCGACTCATCGGCGATGAGTCATCATTCCGAGAAGCTAGTTAACTTAATCCAAACTGCTTTTGCATATTATTGGGCCCAATTTGATCATTTATTGTTGGTCATCGCGATTGCACAAAAATCATAGGAATATTGTACATTTATTGGCAAAACTTTTCCAAAGGTAAAAGGGCAATTCTTGGCCAAGTTTTAACATGATATGGCTCTCTGGGTAATGATATTGAAAGAATAGAACCGGCAACACTATCAACACTCATTTTCACTCATTTTCTTCTTCAGCCAAATCGTCTACGCATGGTCAAAAAATGACCACGCCCAGCCAAATTTACCACGGCGGATCGCACGGTCCTCACATACCACTAGAACGAGTTCCAGTCAATCGTCCAGGACCAAACCCGCCACCAGTAAAAAAATACCCCGCAAATAAATTCCAAAATCAACACGGTAACGGTAAAAAGAGGAAACCAACTCGAGGACAACTTGGAGCTTATAGCACTAGGGATGAAGTGTTTGCTCCGCCACCAAAAGCTGGTAGAATATTAGTTGTTAATTGTTTAATACAAACTTCTTCACAGTTCTTTTTTAGGTTCGTACGCTTTCATTTCCCAGGGTGCAAACACGATCAAAACCAGAGACACTCCAGGATTCATTTTGGGGGCCAACAACTTCCCCAGTTCCCATCTCGAGTTCTCAAATCGCTTCCCCTTGGTTCAAATTCAAAACGACAATTCCTTCCAAGCTTTCGGCAACGGCCAGGCCCCGTTCCAAGGTTTCCAAAAGCAGACGCAAGGGAATGACGTCCGTTTCGCATTCAACAATCAAAACGATGAATATACGAGAAATTTGGTTCCTCCCCCTCAGCCGTACAAGAGCTTCCAGGATAAAGAGGCGAATAAAAAGATTACGAAGCACAAAGAGGGGGTGACGCAATCGACAAACCAAATCGTCAGAGGTAACAACCAAAACCTCCAGTTACCTCCTCCTTTCAGTTACGCGCAAAACGAAGTCAAGGAAAACAATCAACAACCCGGCGTGGAAGTGGAAGTGACCAAGCAGAAACTCAAGGTGTTCCATAACAGCATACCGAGTAACTACAACCCCTTAGCGCCCGATTACGTGGACTACGATTACCACATGGTCAAAAGACCAACGAACCTGCCCAGAGTGCAAACCTACGAGGTGACGGAGGGTAAGCAGTACCAAGAGACGCCGTTATTCTACAGGTTCCAACAGCATCCTGGATCAACTCAACGCCCCAAAAGACCGGTATCGAGAAAGCCGCAGCAACAGTTACCACTGATCGAACTGAGTAGGCCGCTATTGGAACTGAACTTACCGCCTTTCCTACCGACACCCTTTAAACCTGAAGGGGTGGTGCCCACCTCTCCAACGCAAGAGGAAGTGTCCACTTTGTTCAGTAAAGTGAAAATACAGGAATACCAGACGCTGCAACCGCAATTTTTCGACGTCAAGGAGGTTTCCACGCACTTCCCGATTCTGGGCAAACCCGAGTATCACCAGCAAGAGCAAGAATTGACCAACGAGATCACCACGAGTGGAGAACAAGAAACCACAACTCTACCAACAACCACAAAGGAACCTCAAAGGGCGAGGGGTTCGCATAGGAGGCGCAGACCGAACAACAAGCTAAAAATAACGACGACCACCGAGGAAGCGTTACCAACGGAAAGCTACGATGTTCAGAAAATGCAGGAAAGCGAAACCGAAGCGTCGGTTGAAACCGAGAGACCGACCAGAAGGAGACCCAACAGACATAGAACGACAACCACCACAGAAGCGAGTGATATTGAAGAACCAACCACTAAAACACCAAGGCGTAGGAATAGATACAGGCAGAGACAAGGCACGAATGATTTTTTGAGGAAAAAATTGCGAACCACCGAAGCGCCTGTAAACCACAAAATGGAAGAGGATTACAGAGAATCGACCGAAGAATCGGCATCGACGGAAGAAACACAAAACGTGGAAGATGCGACAGAAGAAGAATCGTACAGACCCGCTCGAACGGAAGAGGCGACTCCAAGCAACGGCGACGAAATAGAGATGATCAAAACCGACGTCAAGGAAATTATAATCACGGAAAGCCCCACGACGGAAATTGCGGCCACCACCAACATTCACATGCCGGAAAACGAGGTGGATTACTCCACCTCCGAAAATCAAGTGCATCTGAGTAGCGTGGCGACGGAAATTCCCGAGATGGAGGAAGTCACTTTGGCCACCACAACGACATCCACAACCACAACCACTGAAGAACCGAGCACAACGAAGTCGCACAGAGTGAGAGGCAGGCCGAGTAAATACGACTCCTCGAACAGGCCTAGATTCAGCGTCAAAGATTACAGGCAAAGATTCTCCACCACCAGTAGCACTACCGAGTCGCAAAGGACCACATCGGTGGCGCCCAGACTGAGATTCCCGAACAGATCCAGAAGGCCTATGTCGTCCACAACAACCCCTAGCAGTGTAAACGAACAGGAAGAAGAGAACAGGGGCAGCAGATTTAAGCCTAAAGAGCCTAGGTATACCATCACCACAGAACCAAGCGACAATATAATAACTGAGAAAACTGTAAAGGCGGTCAACACGCGGTTAAGACCTTTTGGTGGTCGGCAAAGATCCACAACAGAAGCCCCAGTGACAGTTAAAGTTTCGATAAGACCCAACCTGTTCTCTCAACGACGCAGGACCGCCACCTTAAGTCTCAAAAATCGAATCCTCAGCAAAATGAACAACAAAACTCAAGAAGTCACCACAGTTGAACCGGAACCGGAATCGGAGGAAAACGAAACGGAGCAAGTGACTCAGGCCAGTTTTTCCGAAGGTGTCACGACAAATTTACCGGAGAAAGTCTATGAATATGCCGACGAAACCACTACCAGCGATATACTGAAGAATGATCCTTCACTGTACTCACAAAGGGTCTCGGATTTAACTTCCTCCTTCAAAAACGAATACAACACGCCTGGCTTGTTCAAGAATGTCTCGCCAACGAGCAGAAAGATACCCAATCATTTTACTATATCCACAGATGATCCTATCTTGCCCATTGAGGCGTTCTTCCCGAACATAAATAAAGGTAGAGAATAAATCTTTAACTTTAAGGATTAAAAAACATAATTATTGGTAAATAGGAACCAATTGAAAATGTGATATGAATTTGAAATTTTTATTATATTATACAAATTAAATTTAACTTTAGGAAAAAGTTAAATTTAAGCTTATAATATACCTACAACTAACTTTATTTGTAAATTTTTATTCAGAAGAGTACCTTTTTATGAGTATAGGATCAGTATTTTAGGCATTTAAATTAAGGGTGTTTATTTATTTATTTCTTTGTGTAAATTAAATTTAACTTTATTTATTAAGTAATTTAACCTTGTAATATACCTACATAAAAATATTATGCATTTTTATTTTGTGGACCTTGGAATAGTATATTATGTATCAAATTTAATAAACGCCATCTATATGAAAATAAAGTTACCATCCCAATAAACATTTTTGACGTAATTGCCACCATTAACATTGCCCGTTAATAATTTTAATTAAACTTAACAATAATTGATTCTTTAAAATAACTTCAAAATATGATTGGGTTAAGAAAATATTTTATTCTTTTATATTTTTTATTATTATAATTAAAAAATATTATCACAAAAAATTAAAAAAGTGACAGTTGTATTTATTGAAATTTGCGTTAGAATTTTTTGTTTAAATCAATATTTATCCCATGAAAATAGACTAACAAACGATATATAAGCAGTTTTTAACAGTAAAAGTGAAGAGAATGTTTTATGTGCAATGCACGCAAAATTTTTAAAGCCTTATCAGTTAAATCTAGTTTACTGCACTACTAAGGCGAAATTAAAAGGTTCATAAAATCTTTTTAAATAATGGCGTCAAAAAACACTTGTATTGAGATAATAAAATAATTTTCACATTTAGTATAATTTTACAAGAAAGGCAATTTATTTTAACGATTTTATGACATTTGACAACTGTCAACTAACTTAAAACTAACTTCAGCCCGTGACTAAAAACCTGTTGCCAACTTCAGCCCGTGACTAAAACGCCATAAAGCCACAGCTTGTCAATGTGTATTTAAAATTTCACTTTGTGTCTTGGAAACATGTACGATAATAGACGTTTTACGATGGGAGTAGAAAAAATTACTTTTTAATTAATGTAAATATTTATTTATAAACAATTATAAAAGTATACTTACATAACATATTTAGCGTGTTGTAAAGCAAGCTTGGCGCATTTGTGCAGTTCTTTGTCCAAAGCATCTAAAATAATAAATAATTTACCAAAGTGAATTTTTTAAAAATTTGTCCCATTATTAATGGAAATCCCTCCAACTTACAGATTTTATGTTGTCCTGCAATGGGATAAAATATTGGTAAAATTATCGGATTTGTACAAATCAAGACAAAAGGACTGTTACTTTCTCCATTGGGGTACTTTTTTTTATACGCGTCCTGTTCCATACAGTCCTCGACAAAAACTGAGCCCAGCAAGCAACTTGTCGGATAGTCTTTAGGAAATTTAAGTTTGGTATCTAAAATTAAGTGTTTATAGTTACACTTTTTTCGTTTTTGTACGAAAATATAGTTGTGTGCACAGATTACAAGAAAATAATTTTTATGGAAATCTCCAAAAACAATTTTTTAGCACTTTTTAAAATTGACATTTCAAAGGTCGTGCTGCCAACTTAAGAAAATTATGACAGTTTAAACCTTAACTTTGCCTTTATAACCACAATTGTTATTATAACAACAAATTAACAATTTATATTGTTGCCTATAGGCAATATATTCACATTTTATGTTGTTTTTAGATTATAATGATACATACTTTAATTTGTAATAAAGTTTTAATTTGCTAATTAAAATACGTTTCATTTTTATTTACTACATTGGCACCGCTGTATTTACTGTCACAGCCTACTGTTATTTATTTATTTATCAAACTCTTCAATAATGTTTTAATTCGCTAAAACAAACAGATGACTGCAAATGAAAGTTTGTATTGGTTTTTAAAAAAATAAAAATTAATCAATAAATAAATAAGTAAAAAAAGCAGTGGTGTTTTATTATGCACATAGGTATGTTATTATTACCTAACCCTAATTTTACGTCAACATTTTATGGTACCACTAACCTTGGTAATATTCACGATAGAAAGACTCCAAAGCAGCCATTTCATCCTCCTCAGGTGGTTTTGCAGCTGCAGCTATCCAGAGGCGCCCTCTGTGAGTTGTGGGCCAAGTTCTTCCCTCGTGTCTTTAAAAATACTTATTAAAACGAATCTTGAAAAATTGCATACATTTTAACTGACTGTTTTACTCCTGCAATCAATAGGCTTGCATACGGTTGATGCATGCTAAGGCACAGTCCATGATCCATGGTGGTTAATAAATCCTCATCAAATACTCTGGTGCCATAGTCAATTATTGGCATTACGTTATCTTCTACCCCTAAATTTTCGATCCCCACTGGTTTTTTGTGTCTCATTTGAATTAAGAGGTCAATCAATTCATCATTAACTTTCTAAAATTTACGTTCGATTTTGATTTTAGATTTTAATCAAAATCTGTTGTTTTTTTATTAGTCTCATTACTTTTTTTTATACTTTAGTAATATTTAAAACCAATTTAATTAGGTATAATTTATAACTTACTGATTTTTTAATTTTGTGGTGAGTTGTTGATTCTGAAACTTCTTGTAGAGCCTTATAAACCTTGTCTACCTTTTCCATATGATCCATTGACTGTTTTAGCAACCTTTCCCTTATTTTAGCATCTTCTTGGCTTCCTTCTATTACCTTTCTGGTTGCAAAGTCCAATGCAATAACCATTCTTCTATTATCTTCATTCCCAGTTTTTTTCTTGTTAATTTTAAAGTAATCATTATCATCATCAAAAACCTTATTTTCTCTATGTCTACAAATAAAATGTTATACTATTTTTCTGATTATCATGTAAAATATTTACTTACTTAACGTTTTTTCTACTCAAAGCATCAAAATGCTCACCTCCTCTTACTGTTACCTAAAAATGAATACATATACCTAAGTAACAAATTAATAAAATAATTTTAGTTTTTTTACAGTATTTCCACAGAATAAACATGGTCCAGGACCCTCTTCCATACAATGGATCCTTCCACAATGTAAACAATTATTCATGAATTCATGTTCTTGACCCATACAGTCACAAGCATTTCTACCTGAATAAATAAATTAAAATTATTGATGAGCTAATATAAAGGATTCTAGAATACAACAAATAAACTTGTCTAAACCATAGGTACCTGATTTCTTTTTCTTTTTTTCTTCGAAGGAATTAATGTTGGTAAATTTTTTCTTATCTTTCTTTTGTGGAGGATTTTGTTGCTTTTGAGGAGCAGTGATATTGTTAACTTTGGCTTTCGACTTTTTGAAAATAATATCCCTTATTCCATTAAATGAATGAACATGCGCACTTTTGCTTTTGTCTACTATACTCTCCATAAATTCTTCATAATCTTCTTCGTTTTCCATGGAATTTATATAACTAAAATATGATTTAGCAAATATGTATAGAGAAAAAATATAATTACCTAATAATATCCATTTCCACGTCATTTCCTAGAATCACTTTTAAATAATTTGTAATGGCATCTTGTGCTTTGTCCATTTTGCGTAAATTTAATTCCGAATTTACGAAATATTGCACAAATTGACAAGTATATAACCTAATTTTGTAAACGTCAAAAGTTTGCATGAAAGCGCGGTTGCCTAGTGTGAGTTAAGGTAACTTCACATATTTGTAGTTTTTTATATCTTGTATACCTACAGTTCATTTTTTTTATCTGGACTTTTTTGTTAGGTTGGTGGCTTATGCCAGTTTGACTTGGTATTTTTAGTATTTAAAAATAGTACTTCTGCTAAAGAATTTAATTAAATACTTTGACACTGTCAAATTGACAATAATATTTAATATTGATAATTTATGATATTACTTGTCAATAGACCTATTCCATAAAACGGAGTTTTGGATAGCGCGTGCGTGAAAAGGCACCTTGTCCTTTTTTTAATTATAAAAGAGAAAGAGATACCACCACAGTATACCCACCACTCTTCTTCAGGCACGCGCTATCCAAAAGTCTGTTTTATGGGATAGGTCTATTATAAATAAAAAGATAACTATGCCAAAAATAATAGCAACGAATTCGAATGTAAAAGCTCTTTTGAGGGCAAAACTTCATTTTGATGAAATTATGCCAAATGCCACAATGGAAGAAAAAGTACATCGCCGCATGGACATTTTTGGAGTACAAAAGTAACGAATTTGGCTTTATAAATATTACATTACACATTATTTTCACATTATTCACCAATGGACAACATTTACGTTCAAAAAAAATTTTAATTTCTTTTAAATAAATTCTTTTCAAAGCGAAGATTATTATTTATCCTGTGAACCTTTTATTTTTGCCAAGGGATTTACATGAAAAATAATATACCTTTACCCATTTTTTAAATTTTTATTAATAATGCCCAACATACATACATATTTTATGTGTTAACAATAATAAACCATAACTATTTGCATTTCCTGTCGTATCTAAAAAGCGGGTTTATAAGTTATAATCCCGCTTCTTATTTAAGCGCTTGTGAACAGAAAACTTATTTGTTGGTTATGTTACAATTTATAACATAAGTATTCTGTTAACAATCATTTAAAAATGCCCAAGACTATGAGCTCTATATTATTATAATACCTAGATTGTTTAATTTTTGCATTCAATTTCAAAATCTTCTATGACTCTTATCTTTATTGGTTTACCCCAATCTGGTTTTTTAATTTGTTCATCAAGTTCAATTTGTACATCATTTACAAATACTTTTAACCTGCTGTTAAGGTCAGTTTTAATTACATTTTTTAATTTAATTTCTTCATCAATTTTACAGAAAACTACAGTAACATGGTCAAGATATACATAATAATCGTTTGTTTTCATATTAGAAAACCAAAATTTATGATAGCCATAAGGCATAAAAATTGAATTTTCATGGCTTTTAAAATGTGTTCTAAGTTTAGAAAAGTTTTTAAAATTTTCTATTGTGCAATTTTCAACTGGACAACTTGGTATGGGCTCACGATTAACACAGTCTTGTTCATGATAAAAAAGAATAAAGCAATCAAAATGCTGCCCACATTTCCATTTACAATATGCTCTTATATTTATAAAACGTTCATTATTTTTTATAAATTCAACTGGTTTATGCCCTTTAGAACAACTTTGGTTTACATCATGTTTACAAGAATCACAACAGACAATTGGTTCTGAACATTCGTAGTATATAAAACAAGTTTTTGAATACAAATTTTCTCCACAAAAACTACAAAATTCAACCATTTTACAATCCTCTTCATCAATAATATACGTTCCACAAATAGAGAGTTTTACACCAGGATTTAATTCTTTAAATTTTGGTGTCAAGTATAGTTTTCTACTAAAATATTTATTTGCCATATAATTTATTGGGGTGACGTTCATAATATCGAAATTCACTTTATCGAATTCAAAATATCGAACACTTTTTATCGAAAATCAAAATATCGAAAATACAAAATGTCGAAAATCAAAATATCGAAAATTAAAATGTCGAAAATGATAATATCGAAATTTTATTTAATCGAATTTTCAATTTATCGAAAATAAAATATCGACGTTCATAATATCGAAATTCACTTTATCGAATTCAAAATATCGAACACTTTTTATCGAAAATCAAAATATCGAAAATACAAAATGTCGAAAATTAAAATGTCGAAAATACAAAATGTCGAAATTTTATTTAATCGAATTTTCAATTTATCGAAAATAAAATATCGACTGCTTAAAATATCGATTATAATAATATGGAGGCGCCTCTGATATATAAATGTACTCAAACTCAACAACACAACCCAACCGACCCCGCCCCATTGGCCCCCCCCCCCGCCCCATTGAGCAAAAAACCCAACTAAAATGGGCTAATTTATGTAATTAAAAAGTGTTTTATTTTTATCGTAACATGAATTTGCCCATTTTAGTTGGGTTTTTTGCTCAATGGGGCGGGGGGGGGGGCCAATGGGGCGGGGTCGGTTGGGTTGTGTTGTTGAGTTTGAGTACATTTCTATAAAACGCGCATCTCTAGGAGCCAGGGAGCCAAGATAATTCGGTGCATAACCGTAACTTTATCTACAGAGGCGCCTCTGTACATATACACTTCGATTTTAATCATACATTTTAATTTTCGATATTTTTAAATCGATATTTTAATTTTCGAAATTTTAATTATTCGACATTTTCAAATCGACATTTTAATTTTCGATATTATCATTTTCGACATTTTAATTTTCGAAATTTTAATTATTCGACATTTTCAAATCGACATTTTAATTTTCGATATTATCATTTTCGACATTTTAATTTTCGATATTTTGATTTTCGACATTTTGTATTTTCGATATTTTGATTTTCGATAAAAAGTGTTCGATATTTTGAATTCGATATAATGAATTTCAATATTGTGAACGTCACCCAATTTATTGATAGTAGGTCCTTTTTTTTTACTTGAAATTTACCAAACTGTACGAAATCAAAGTTCAAAATTAGTTCACATGAAATATTCTCCATTTTATCAAGCTCTCCCAACGAAAATTCAAATCGTTTTTTCAAAACTGTGTCACATTGTTGAAACTCACTGCTTCTATATAACAAACCATCTTGTATACGAAATTTGTGGCTGATTTTTTTAGCTAAATCTTCTGGACCAACCAACCTATTGTCCAGAAACATTTTGTTGTTAACAGTATCCACTGAAATGTTCAACATAAACATCATGTTATCAGTGCAGTATAAGTAGTATTTCTCAGAATCAACTGTCGCATTAATTTGGAAGATAGGCTTTTTCAACAAGCAATATCGATGTTTTTTTCTGTAGTGTTCCAGCATCATGTAGGGTGCCATATTTGAATCAGGGCACAGTGGACAAACGTCGAAACTTTTACTCACACAGTTCTCTTCATGTTCTTTCACTTGATCGGGGAGCAAAAGTGAGGTGCACCCTTCGTAACGGTTTACACATTTAAACAGCATCGTTGGAAATACTTTATTCACCTGCGATAGAGCTCCGTTATCATCTTCTTCTATGCAACGGCCACATTTCATGCTTCTGTTGGGGTACATGTGCACTGGTAAAACCGACAAATATTTCGAACACTCTGAACAGATCATCAGGTCCAAAACCTGATCAGGAAGAATTGTGTTCATGTTCTTGTTTTAATTTACAAAATTAGCGATAAAAAAAACCTCTAAACAAAGTTTGATTAACGAACTCATCTACGAATGAACTCTGTAAATTACCTACAGATAAAAAACGTTTATTTTAAAAAAGAAGAAGAAGAACAAAACAAGCTTTAAGAACCATGTAAAGGTCTGTTCACAGAATTGTTTTCAGCTTCCGCTAACTGCACTGTCTGTTAAAATTGGGGTCGTTGGTGTTTCACACTCTTTATAAAAAAGTGCTGTTTTTCGAATATGTTATTATAAACCTTGAGGATTATAAATATTAGGTTTGGAAATGTAGAACTTTCACGCGCATGACAGCTCGATGCTAGCGACATCTATTTGAATATTCTAAAACCAACGAGAATAATATTGTCATTTTTTATAAAAATGATTTTCTAATAAGCATAGAAAAATGAATACTGCAGAAGTTTCAGATATTTTAAGAGGTTCCCAACGAGACGAGTTATTCGTAAATAACATACAAGATGATTTGCAGCTGTTCTACAAAGTACTCAGCCCCAGGAACTATCCGCTCAGACAAACAGCCCCAACTGTTGCAAATGCCTGGTATTACTTAATTACTTCATTGGGAAATGTACAAACTCTGGGGGAAGAATATACTGGTACTATAAGAATCGATAAAGAAAATAGAATACCAGGAAAGTTTTTGCATTCCATTTGGTTGGTTTTATATTTAGGAGGAGAGCCAATGTTAGATAGACTAATAAAGAAATTGAAAAATCAAATAAATAATTCACAGAAAATTACAGAAAATTCAAAATCATTTTTTGTGAACATTTTAAACTTTGTATCCAATAATAAATTGAAATTTAACAGAATTCATAAGGCATTGTTTTATATAAATGGAAAGTATTACAATGTATCAAATAGAATAACAGGAATCAGATATGTAAGTTAATTTTAAATTACCTATTTCATCCCAAAACACTGCAATGTAATTTTTAGGTTTTAGTTAGAGAATGGTTGAAAGATGACACCTTTACAGGCAGCTTTAGAAGTTTGGGCTATTTATCTTTGTTTTACACGCTGTTTTCAATGGTGCACAGTTTAATGACTTCTCATTCGGGAAATTCTGAAATGCAAACCTCCACATCACTTGTATCCACCAAATATTGTCCGCTGTGTACAGAAAATCTTAAATCTGCCTCTGCCACACCCTGTGGTCATATATTTTGTTGGAACTGTATATATGATTGTTTATCCTATCAAAAGAATTGTCCGATTTGTAGGGAGGAAATTGGCCATAGTAGGATATATTTTTTACAAAATTATGTGTAATATGTGGTTTTTAGAGCATTTTAATATATTTTATACTGTTTTTAACGTTTTTTATTTAAAATAGAGAGTAGTAGTAGTAGTTCCAAAAAATTGTGGGTTATGTCAAATATAGGTTATGTCACTTAACCTAAAATAATAACCTATTTATTTCTTGTAAATTTATTAGTTTCTGTGGGGTATAGCTGATAAAAATGATTAGGAACGACTTAATAAGAAGGGTGATTAATTACCCCTTTAGAATCATAACCGCCAAACAAAGTAACCTATCAGAACTCAACATAAAAAAATTGGAGGAAGATTCATTGACTCCTGATGGTAAATTAATATTATTGCACTCTATATTCAGACCAACATTAATGTAATTTTAGTCTTTGATGAAGAGGCTGCACTGAGAGAAGAAGAAATTCAAAGGAAAAGAAACAAATCCCGGCTGAAGACAGCTGACTTTAATATGTTACACGAACAAAATCCTTACAGTGAACCGACAAATTGGCACCATGGAACATTGAAATACCTTAGACGAACGTACGGTAGGTACGGCAGCGAGTCAGGCATAGACCCTGCTATATGCTGGCCCACAGAAAAAGAGCTTTCAGAAACGATGGAGTATGAAAAAGTTAAGTATCCCTACAAAATTTTGGAAGTTGCTGCAGCTGCAAGGGAGAAGAGGAAACAGGAAAATGAAGCTGTTTTGGCAAGGCAGGAATCAATTGTTCAGAAAATTGCTAAATTAGATGATTTGAAGAAGGATTTGGCCAATAGGATAGCAAAGAAGGAAGCAGAAGCCAATGCCGCAAAGGTAACATTTTTTTTTCATAGATTTTTATTTTATTAATTTTTTTTTATAGGATCGCAAAGAACGGTTAGTGGAGGAAGTCAGAAGGCACTTTGGTTACACAGTAGACCCAAGAGATGAAAAATTCAAAGAAATGTTGGAAAAGAAGGAGAAAGAGCAGAAGAAACAGATGAAAGAAGCCAGAAAAAAAGAGAAGCAAGAACAAATGCTTGGTAAACTGTTAAAAAAGAAAGATGAACCCAAAACAAAAGTAGAGCAACCAAATGAATAGATTTAGGTGTAATTTTTATTGGAGTAATAAATAAACTAAACAAAATTGTATTTAATTTCCACCTCCAGCTTCTGGGTTTGATGCTGATGATATCAGCATTACTATAACAACTGGTACAATATACATCCACTAAAAAAAAAAATATTAAAAAAAATATATTATAACCTGTTAAAAGTATTACATATTTGGCAATAAACGATCTATTATCTTTGGTATCTCCACGTTCCCTGGCCTCCCTTTCCCTTTCCAATTTTTGAATATATGTAGCAGTATCCGGTCTGAAAACAATAAATAGAAACATTTTCACAAAAAATTTAATTATTCTTACATTGGACCGGTTTCACTGTGCCTTACATAAACATTAGTAGTAAAATCTTTAAATTTACTTAAGGGCACTGATGAACCCTCACAGGTGCCTTTAGAAGCCACAACTGAAGTAATACCAATAACTCTTCCTGTATAATCTAAAGAAACCGAAAGACGTTCATCTAATTCAGCTTCAGCCAACATACACTAAAAAAACATATAAAATAAAAAAAATTACTACTCATAGTACTTACAGCCTTCAAAGTGGATATAAACTCCTGTTTGCTGCCATCAGCGGCAGTAGCAACAGCCTTAATTTGATAAAATTCATTATTAATGGCCAATTTTTGCAGCTGAATTTTATCTTGCTGACTTAATGGTTTTTGGTCGACAATTGCTTGTCCAGACCTTAAGCTGTGTATTGTTATTGTACTTCTTTCAGTAAAATTTGGCTCTTTAACTCCAGTCAAAGAATGGTACAATTTTATGCTAACTGAACTGTCTTGCTCTAGACAGTACTAAAATCACAAGTTAAGTAGTGCTCATATAAAAAAATATGTTTAAAAACTTACCAATGGTGCCATACGACATAGTAAAAAAAATATTAACACGCTATATTTAAGCATTTTATCTAATTACAAAATAAATCGATTGTAATTGTCAGTTTGACGGGTACATAACCTTAAAATTGTATGAAGCGGTGATGCCACAACAAAATTTGTAATTGTTATAATCCACATGAATATAATGTATTGTTTAAATAACTAAACCAACACAATAATTCCAGGATTATTTGTAATGATTTTGGCATAATTAACTTTTTTATGTGAATTAAAAACGGAATAATCTGTTAAATTTTGTAACTTCGGCAACACTGCTAAAAATATTCTTTTTGACACGTGCGTTTTGAGGTTATATTTTGAGTTAAGTTGTTCTTCCAAAATGCAGCACGACGATGTAAACTAAAATAATTAAAGTATGTTTATTGAATTAATAAAACTATGTTTTAGGTGGTGTGGAGTATAATAAACAGATCGTTCTGTTCTTACAAAGTAAAGTAAGGTTTAAAGGAAATGCGATTTTATTTTACTAACGGTTAAAATTTCAGCACAAAAACCCAAAGGTTCTGCAGAAATGAATACAATTTGACCGGTTTGTGTAACCGATCGTCTTGTCCACTGGCGAACAGCCAGTATGCGACGATACGAGAGGAAAAAGGTGTGATTTACCTTTTCATGAAAACAGCGGAAAGATCAGCTTTCCCCAGTAAAACATGGGAAAAAGTTAAATTGTCCAGAAACTTTGAAAAAGCTATTCAACAGATAAACGAGAATTTACTTTACTGGCCGGGGTTTATTAAATCAAAATGTAAACAGAGATTTGTGAAAATAACACAATATTTGATTAGAATGAGGAAATTAAAACTTAAGAGACAGTGAGTGTTTACATATTGGGTTTTTTGTGTGGTTTTATAATTTAATTTTTTTTTAGGAAACTTATTGTACCACTGCAGCGTAACATAGAGAGAAGAGAAAAACGTAGGGAAGAAAAGGCTTTATTGGCTGCTAGAATTGAAAAGGGTGTTGAGAAAACTTTGTTGGAGAGGTTGAAGAAGGGAGTTGTAAGTATTTATATGACAAAATAAAAATTGTTGCTGATATATTATTTTTTTTATAGTACCAAGATTTGTACAACATACCCCAAACAGCTTTTGATGATGCTGTAGAAGAAAGAGAAATTGAATCAGAAAGTGAAGCAGAGGAAGAAATGGAGGAAGAGAAGGAAATTGAAATGGAAAATGAGGATGATGGTCCAGAATTTGTGGCTGCCGATAGTGATGATGATAGTGACTTGGTAAATATATTTTTTTCCATTTTGTGTTTTTATTATAATGTGTCCAGAAATTATGAGCATTTTTCCTTGAAGTTTTTTTGGTATGGTAGAATTCAAAGCCAATTTTATTTGACATTCTATCTGACAAGTGTCAAGCAGTTTTAACCTCACTTTTTAACAATCTGACATCTCGGACGGGTTTAACCTCACTTTTTAACAATCTGGCATCTCGGACGGATTTAACCTCACTTTTTAGCAATCTGACATCTCGGACGGATTTAACCTCACTTTTTTTCAATCTGACATTTGTCAAACGGCTTTAACCTCACTTTTTCCCAATTTAGTGCTTAATACACAACTGAATTAAATAGAGAGTGGATAAAACCATTTTTTAAGGTCTCCAGATATTATGAGCATTTTTCCTCCAAGTTTTTTTGGTATGGTAGAATTTAAAGCCAATTTTATTTGACGTTCTATCTGACAAGTGTTAAGCGGTTTTAACCTCACTTTTTAACAATCTGGCATCTCGGACGGGTTTAACCTCACTTTTCCCAATGTGACATTTGTCAAACGGTTTTAACCTCACTTTTTTTCAATTTAGTGCTTAATACACAACTGAATTAAATAAAGTGAATAAAACTATTTTTAATGTTTTTTTTAGGAAAGTGACAGTGGTCAGCCAGAGGAAATTGATTTAAGCAGTAGTTTTGAAACGTCTGACGATTCAGATATAGAGGAAATTAGTGTGAGCAAAAAGAAAGGCAAACAAATTCCAGTAATGAAGAACAGGAAAGATTCAGATGGTGCTAAAGGAAAACGTAGACCCAGAGTTGAAATTGAATATGAAGTTGAACAAGCTTCACCCTCTAAAATTGCATCCTTTTAATTTTATTGTGTAGGTAATTTTTAAATAAATGATAAAAATAAAAAACTGAACTTTTATTAAATAGAAATTAAAAATTATAATTCTTTGAAATATAAAAATACTTAAATGTAAGTAATGCAAAATAAAAAAATTATTTTTCCACTGGTTCTTCAGAGTTTTTAGCTGCCAGGCCCCTTATTGATAAATCGTAGACCACCTCCTCAATTTTCTTCACGTCATATTTCATAGCATCAAAACGTTTTCTCAAAGAATCATTTTTTAAGTTCAACAGACGAAAGCCGGCATTTAATTCGGCAACAAACTTTGAAATCTGCAGTGGCCTATCGTAATCTTTGTAGGTGACTGAATTCACTGCAAACCTCGACTAAAAAAATACTATGCAATTTAAACAAGTAAAATAATAAATATTCCTACCAACTCAGTTGATAAATTTAGAAGCCCCATTAAGTAATCTTCCAAATCAAATTTTAAATTGCTTTTTTCATGAACTGAAAATAAAAGATTTAAGTTACATATATACCCATAACAAATAGCACAGTTTCCCATACTTCCTAAAATTTGAGCTGCAGTCAGCTTATCAATAAGAATCCCTTTTTCCAAATATATGATCAACGCAGCCAAAAAACACAACCTTTGCATCACATATTTCCAATGATCGTGATAGCGGTAATATTGACCTGCTGGGACAATCTTGTCCAACTTCTCAAAACCGATTCTCACTTCTTCAAAGATTTCACGACCCTTAATGCAAGCTTGGTGCACTAAAAATATATTACTAAATAAAATACATTAATAACAATTAATTCAGTTACATTCTTCTAGCTTGTGATCTTGATGTATCACTTGCAGAACAGTAATAATTTCCCTCAGCGGTTTTTCAATGCTTTTCATTATTTGCCGGATTTCCTGAAAAAAGGATTAATATGTTTTTTCGAAATAAATCAACTAAACCTACTTCACGAATTTCCTGTTCCTCATTAATATGGTCCTGGAAAGGCGTAAAAATCTCGGTAATTAGTTTACTGCTCATATTGAATTTTTATGAAAAAACACCAGTTTCAAGATGTGAAATTCTTCTTCTTCTTTAACTAATTGACATGCCGGTTACTATACCACGGTGCCAAATTTTACACCGCCAATGCAGTGTTGCCAATTGCTTTTGGCAAAATTACACCCAAACTCTCCAGAATTACACCACATTACACCCCAACAAAAATTAAGCATGATTTATAACATTGAAAATGTCATATGCTCGAAACCCATATTTATTTACAAAAATAATACGTTATTCAGGGGTGTCCAAACTATTATTTATTATTATTATTATTAATTTTCAATTAAAAAAATGCTTGTTTTCATAGATTGCATTTCTTCTGCGTGAAAACATAAACAAAAATAGGTACGTTTTTTATTATGTTAATTTGTGGCCACTATCAATGCCAAGGGCAATTTTTTATAACCCTTGGTTACCGTTTAAATTCGGCCTATTCCTGTACTTAAGATTAATCACTCAACTATAGTATTAAGAAGATTATATAATATAATTTTCCTATAGATAGTATCTTCATTAAATTTTGAAGAGTTGGATAAATAAATAACAGTAGGCCGTGACAGTAAATTCAGTGCCAATGTGGTAAAAATTAAACGTCGTATTTTAATTAACAATTTAATACTTTATTACAAAATAAACTATCATTTAAAACTAAAAACAACATTAAGTAACAAAACAAATTGTTAACTTGTTGTTATAATGGCAAAATCAAGGTTTAAAACTGTCATATTTTTGTGTTTCTTAAGTTGGCAACACAAAATTTGAAATGACAATTTTAAAAAGTGTCAAAAAATTGTTTTTTGAGATTTTTATAAATTATTTACTGTAATAACCACAGACCTAGGTCTGTGGTAATAACCAATTTTATCTCATATAAGCGAGCTCGAGATGAAAAATAAAAAAATGGCGTATGAAATTATTTTTTTTGGAATCTGAAATTATTTGTGATGTGTCTGATGCCTGAAAATCGTATAATCAATGTTAAGACCATCCATGGAAACTCTTTAAATGGAGATAGGTAGGTCCTAGTGAAATTTTTGTAAATGCTCAAGCAGCATTTTTGGTTCCAAAAACCATTGCCAAAGTGGTGATAACTTTAAATTAGTTAAAGATACTAAACAGCTACTTTAATTTTTACTTAAATGTAATTCTAACTTTTAAATAGCAATTTTTTGTAACAAAAACTTAATTTTTCCATAAATGGTTACTATAGTAACCATATATAAAGTAATAAACATTTAAGTAAAATTTGGTTGCCCACAAGAAGACTTTAAAAAAGGTGTTATAAGTAAAAAAAACTTTTAAGTAAATTTAATTTGTAGCAGTTAGGTACTTTCGGTTGCTACCTAAAGATTACATTATAATTTTTTTTACTTTGTAGTCCCTTTGCAAGTTAAAATCTCGAAACTGGAACATAAGTTAAAAAACTACAAAGTTGATAACTTAAAAGTTATTATTTTAGTATTTGGAACGTTTATGGTACCAACCAAAACAACCGTAAAGTGGAAAAAAAGCGAAAACTACTTCAAATGAAAATGCTTCTTATTGGCCATTTTTTACTGTAAGTACCACGTGGTAATGTAAATAATAAATTATTTTAATTGTTTGTAAATGGTTGTTTACTTTTTAATAAATAGTAATTTTGTTGGTAATAGTCGGTATTAATAATTAAATAAAAAAATTAATAATAAATATTAAGATTTTTTTATTTTTAAACATTATTAAATAAATAATTTCTGTATACTTAAATATTGATGAAGCGCATTTATTTTACAAAAACTAAATTTATAAGTTCAACAGTAAAATTTAAAGGGTTTATACATTTACCTGCCTAATTAAACATTATATTGTTATTCTGTAAGTTATAAACTACCAGTACATATTTAATTAACGACGACATTGAAAAGCCAAGTCCGTAGTGGTTTCATTTAAAAAAGTAGGGATAGTATAATCTAATATAAGTTTGACAAAGACAGTTAATATAGAAGTAAAAACAAATAAATAAAAGTAATTATAACGCTCTAGCAACGATATTGGAACGTTCTAGTAACGTAGCGGATACTTTCCAAATAGTAGCAGGGTTTATAGCTAGTGACATATTTGTTACCTTTTTGGAACTCAATAATTGTTCCCCATTTAGTCGTAACTTAGTAATGAAAGAGTAATACAAAGAGACCGGCGACTGTCGCAAAACACTTTTAAGTTTGTTCAATAGTCCCATATACGTAACAAATACTTGGGTGGTTTGAGTTTGGGTTGGGCGTACACTGGAGGATGTCCAGGATATTCAAATATAAATATATGTAATTTAATTTGTAAATTATTATAATAAAATATTGTTATTGGGTTTTAGGTACAATGAAAATGTTCTTTAGTTAGTATACTTATAAGTACTATAGTTAGTATACTTATAAGTACTATAAATAGTACAACATTGTGTATTTTATTGCGCTCTAAAATTCTTACTTACTTACTCCAATTGTTCTACTTTTAAACATACCACCCGACCATGACATTAAAAGTTTTCTTAATTAGATTTTTATTTATAAAACTAAACCCATTAATTCCGGATGGATACATATGTATTTACTTAAGCGACATTTTTAGTACGTGACAAGTACTTTCTCTAATTCCGGTGCATCCGAGATGCACGCGTACTATTATTATTATTCAACCTGGATGCATACCAAACGGTCCAGTATTGCGAAAATTAAAAGACCGTATCACCACGAGAGTAACCATAACAGTTCAACATAACGGTTCTGAAATGATCGAACGATGGTGTATCCACAATTAGAATTTATCAGCCAGTCTAAAAGAAAGTCTCCACCACCTCGGAAGGAACCAACATAACTATGCATTACTCATCCGGATGGTACGTCAATTGCAGGTACCATTCGCCAGTTGATTGTCTCCTGAAGCATTGTTGTACATAAGGTCAAGGTGGTTCTGTGTCAGTGGTACTACGATTGGTGTGTTCCAGTGACAAGCCGACTTGTTTTTTTAAGACATTTCTTAGTTTATTTGGCTCAAGTTCGTCAAGTGTTCGTACGTGGTTAGGCTCAGTTACAGCAATTAATAAAGTGACTATTATCTTTTACACGTGGGACTGAGAATTGAAGATGTATTGTTCGTTGGCGCTAAGTTGTAAATCTTTGAGAATTACACGAAGATGATTGTATAAAAAGGTAACAAAGGTAAAGATGTTTTATTAATATACAGGGTGATTCACCAAAATTATTCATTGGAAGTTTATAGAGAACGGAAAAAGATATTGATTTGAAATTTGTATTCCAATAAAAAACCAATGTAAACTATTTTATTAAATTATTTCCATTGCGTTATCACTTCCGGTTAAACCGGAAGTGATATTAACTTTATGGTTTCAAATAATTCTAGAAATACTGAAATATGATTATTTTTTGAGTTTGACCTACACTTTTATTGTGCTTTGATCTTTCATAATTAAGTAGATATTACATTATATCCCTGCTGAAAAAGACGGGTAATATCGGATGATTGCGGATAAAAAACCAAGCTAGTTTTATGTCCATTTATATCTGTTTTTATCCGACATATCTGATTTTACCCGGCATGTCGGTTTTTATCTGCAATTGCGGGTATAAATATTATCCGCGAACGTCGGGTTTTATCTATTTAGATCTATGTCTGCTTTTATCTGTTTTCATCCGCAAATACCTGTATTTGAATTTATATCTGCATTCACCCGGTTTTATCTGATTTTATCCGCAAACATCTACTTTAATCCGCAAACGTCTGCTTTATCCGATTTCACCTGCAAACATCTGCTTTTATACGTGAAGATCTACTTTCATCCGCGAACATCTATTTTAATCCACAAACATCTGTTTTAATCCGCAAACATCTCATTTAGTCCGCAAAAGTCTGATTCATAAGATTTCACCTGCAAACATCTGCTTTTATCCGCAAACATCTGTTTTAATCTCCAAACATCTGCTTTTATCCGCAAACATCTATTTTAATCTGCAAATATCTGCTTTTATCCGCAAACATCTGATTTTATCTGCAAACATCTGCTTTTATACGCAAACATCTGATTTTATACGCAAACATCTGATTTTATACGCAAACATCTGATTTTATCCGCAAACATCTGCTTTTATACGCAAACATCTGATTTTATACGCAAACATCTGATTTTATACGCAAACATCTGATTTTATCCGCAAACATCTGCTTTTATCCGCAAACCTGATTTTATACGCAAACATCTGCTTTTATCCGCAAACATCATATTTTATCCACAAACATCTGTTTTAATCCGCAAACATCTGAAACTTCTACTTTAATCTACAAATGTCTGCTTTTATCCGCAAACATCTAATTTTATCCGCAAACATCTGATGTTATCCGCAAACATCTGATTTTAATCGCAAACATCTGTTTTAATCCGCAAACATCTGATGTTATCCGCAAACATCTGCATTTATCCGTAAACATGTGCTTTTATCCGCGAACATCTGATTTTATCCGCAAACATCTGATTTTATCCGAAAACATCTGATTTTATCCGCAAACATCTGATGTTATCCGCAAACATCTGATTTTAATCGCAAACATCTGATTTTTTCCGCAAACATCTGCATTTATCCGCAAATATCTGCTTTTATCCGCGAACATCTCCAAACATCTGCTTTTAATTGCAAATCTCTGCTTTCATCCGCGTTCGGTTTGCCTGCATTTCCTTTGTCCATTTCGGTCCTGTTTCGTACGCAAACGTCTGGTTTCATTCGCGCTTTTTGTTTTCCTTTTTCTCGTGAATACTTTAGTTTAGTTTAACTGCTTTGTGAAATTTTACTAAGCTTTAACTAACTGGCACACAACTTTATAACTCTAAAAGGAATTATTTGAATAAAAACAACCTGTAAAGGAAATAAGTTTATTGAACTTCAATATTATTTGGTAAAATACAAATAAGGTCTTTGTTAAAGGACATAAATAGATATTTTTTAATCATTAAGCTTACATTTAAATTAATTGTTAGAAAACATATATGTTTAATTTCAAATACATTTTGAATTATAACATCTTCAATTTGTATGAAATTTGTTTGAAAAACACTTATTTAGGCGTAGAATTTTTCATTTAACTTTAAAAACTTTTTAATTTTGGCATAACCAATATTTTTAATATATATGTAAGAATTAATAGACTTATTATTTCTATGGTACTCTTCACTATAGTATACCTGATTTTTAAATTTAAATCTGGTGAATATAATTAAATTATTTTCCCATTGGGAAAATGTCGTGTTGAATAAACTTATTTCCTTTACAGGTTGTTTTTATTCAAATAATTCTTTTTAGAGTTATAAAGTTGTGTGCCGTGAACGGCTAACAACCAGTTAGTTAAAGCTCAGTAAAATTTGACAAAGCAGGTAAACTTAACTAAAGTATACACGAGAAAAAGGAAAACAAAAAGCGCGAATGAAACCAGACGTTTGCGTACGAAACAGGACCGAAATGGACAAAGGAAATACAGGCAAACCGAACGCGGATGAAAGCAGAGATTTGCAATTAAAAGCAGATGTTTGGAGATGTTCGCGAATAAAAGCAGATATTTGCGGATAAATGCAGGTGTTTGCGGATAAAATCAGATGTTTTCGATTAAAATCAGATGTTTGCGGATAAAATCAGATGTTTGCGCATAAAAGCAGATGTTTGCGGATAAAAGCAGATGTTTACGTATAAAATCAGATATTTGCGGATAAAAGCAGATGTTTGCCGATAAAAGCAGATGTTTGCGGATAAAATCAGATGTTTCCGGATAAAAGCATATGTTTGCGGATAAAATCAGATGTTTGCGGATAAAAGCAGATGTTTGCAGATTAAAATAGATGTTTGCGGATAAAATCAGATGTTTGCGGATAAAAGCAGATGTTTGCGGATAAAATCAGATGTTTGGAGATTAAAACAGATGTTTGCGGATAAAAGCAGATGTTTGCGGATAAAATCAGATGTTTGCAAATAAAATCAGTTGTTTGTGGATAAAATCATATGTTTGCGGATAAAAGCAGATGTTTTCAGATAAAATCAGACGTTTGCGGATAAAGGCAGATGTTTGCGGGGGTGCACTAACCGGATGAAATAAGGCGTTCGCAGATAAAAGCATGTTTACGGGTGAAACCGTATGAAAGCAGATGTTCGCGGATGATTGCAGATGTTCGCGGATAAAATGAGATGTTCGCGGATAAAAGCAGATGTTCGCGGATGAAAGCAGATGTTTGCGGATAAAAGTATATGTTTGCGGGTGATTGCAGATGTTCGCGGGAGATTGTAGATGTTCGCGGATAAAAGCAGTTGTTCGCGGGTGACTGCAGATGTTCGCGGATGAAAGCAGATGTTTGCGGATAAAAGCAGATGTTCGCGGATAAAATGAGATGTTTGCGGATAAAAGCAGATGTTCGCGGATGATTGCAGATGTTCGCGGATGAAAGCAGATGTTCGCGGGTGATTGCAGATGTTCGCGGATGAAAGCAGATGTTCGCGGGTGATTGCAGATGTTCGCGGGTGATTGCAGATGTTCGCGGATAAAAGCAGATGTTTGCGGGGGTGCACTAACCGGATGAAATCAGGCGTTCGCAGATAAAAGCATGTTTGTGGGTGAAACCGTATGAAAGCAGATGTTTGCGGATAAAACCAGACGTTTGCGGATGAAAGCAGATGTTCGCGGGTGATTGCAGATGTTCGCGGATAAAAGCAGTTGTTTGCGGGTGACTGCAGATGTTCGCGGATGAAAGCAGATGTTCGCGGATAAAAGCAGATGTTGGCTGATAAAATCAGATGTTCGCGGATGAAAGCAGATGTTCGCGGATGAAAGCAGATGTTCGCGGATGATTGCAGATGTTCGCGGGTAAAAGCATATGCTCGCGGATAAAACCAGACGTTTGCAGATAAAACCCGACAAAAATAGACGAAAAAAAATGCAGGTATTCGCGGATAAAAACAGACGTAAGCAGACGTTTGCAGATGATTTCGGACAAATTCAGATATAAACGAAACACAGTGAAGACGGTTAAACTCAGATGATTGCAGATGATTGCGGGGGTGCACTAACCGGACATAAAACACAACCAACCGGGTGTTCGCGGATATAGCGATGCGGACAAAAGCAGATGTTATCAGATGATATTTTTACCCGCTTTTATCTGCTTTTATCCGGCTTCGACGAAGAATTTATACCCGCAATCATCTGCTTTTATCCGGTTTTGACGAAGAATTTATATCCGCAATCATCCGTCATTTTCAGCAGGGATGTTACTCTTTCTAGGTTAACCTATATGTTTTCAAATATCTGAGGTATAAGCATACTAAAAATATCAGTTCACTAGATAAATTAAACACATCCAAAGCAATCGAATCAAATATAAAATATTATTAAAAATTAAAAGAAATAATTTTTATAACCATTTATGTAGGTGTTACAAAAATTGATTCTATCCTCCGTGAATCTTTTTTTGTTTAAATTGTATGCAACGGATGGCGCTTTAATCATTTTAAATAAGCAAAAACCTCTGTTTACGACATTATAGATGCATGTGATTCCTGAAGGTCAGTTAGAATTTATATGCAGATGAGAGTGTTGCTGTTTTATAATTCAAAAGTTTAAGTTCATTAATTTGCTATTTAAAAACCTACCCACCGTGAAGTGTAATACCTCAGTAAGTAGATTTTTTTTATAAATAATTTATGTATCGACAATTGTTTAAAAAAAAAATATTAAGGTGTCAAGAGATACTATAACTTAATTCAAATATACAAAGGGATGTTTAAAAAAAACATTCGAAATCCTAACCTCCGTGAAGCTATCTTCCGTAAAGCTCCAATATTCAAACTGTATGATTTTAAAATTCTTGCATTAGTGCAGAACCACTTATGTTATGTTACTACTCCCAAAAACCCCATTCTAGACTAACAGTGAAACAACCAAAAATAAAAAATAATCATTTTCACTTGGGGGACATTACCACTAATTGGAATGTTAAAAAGTTAATTTTTGGTGTACTTTTTAACCAAGGAGCACTCTATTAAAACCCATTAATAGTATTTTAAAATTTTATACAGGGTGTCTGGTATTTACGTTGACTTTTTTGTCACTTTAAATTCCAATAACTTTCTTATTGCAAACGATACTACCATACAATTTTTATATGATTCGACAAAATTTGTTAAAATTTTTGAAAAAAATTAAATATCTCAAAAACAGTTAAAAATAAAAAAATAATCAAATTTTGGTATTTTTTCAATTTTACGTAGAATTTATAAATGCAATAATATTTATATGGAACGTTCCATTTGAATAACCAAAGTTGGTATCACTTCCGATTTAACTGGAAGTGATAACGCATTGAAAATAATTTAAAAAAATAGTTTAAATTGGCTTCTAATTGCTATACAAATTTCAAATCGATATCTTTTTCCGTTCTCCATAAACTTCTAATGAATAATATATATTATATAATAATAACTTAAGTTAGGTGAATCACCCTGTATATCAATTTTATTGATTTAGATACCTATATTAGTTTTTGGTATTTATTGTACTGTACCAAAATTATTTGGTATCCTGAAATATGTACCTAAAATGCTGTGTTTATTTTTTTTTATTTTTTAACATTTAACCACCTAAATGGAATAAAACAATCTTATAAATGCAGAAAAGTAATTTTTTAAACCGATTTTAAATATCAACAAAACACTAGTTTTATTAAATTCTTGTTGAACTTCTCCCTGAGTCTTATTTTTGGATGAATGCAGAATTGAATTTAGAGCTCGTCAAAATAACCCCGGCAATGCAGATTAACTTATAAGCAGTTTAAGAGGAGTGAGGAAATGTTCCCTAGGACGAATTAAAAACTTAATAGAAAGCATGCCTCGTCGAATTCGTGATTGCATTGGCGCTAAATGTGGCAACACCGATTATTAAATTAAATTCTAATTTACTAAGGTAGAGATTATTTTTTAGAGAAATTCACATTTTCTATTTTGTTTAAGCAAACAGTATGGAGATACTATTGTATAAACAAAAATATTTAAATTAGATATATAATAATAGAAAGCCATTTACGACATTATTTGCATACTCATCTTAATATGTTAAATTTGTTTTGTTGCATAGGTAGGTCAAGTGTAATCAAACAGCATTAACGTTATTATAATTAGTACAAAGAAAATTTGGTCTCGATAATTTTCTAAATAATTATCACCCATGGGTAACAATCTTATACATGCAAACTTACTTCACTTTCAATAATAAATACCATCACTTGAGATGCCTAAGTGGTAGGTAGTTACATTTAACCTAGTTATTAAGAATTTGTTTGAAAACACGATATTCAACAATAAGTAGGGTAGTTATTTGTTACCTAGGTACTTATAAATATATTTGACAATTACAATCTTTAAAACTATTGTAACTGAACATATAAGAACGGTTTTCACTTAGGTACATTCCTGATTTTTTGCTTCTTTTTGACATAAAGTTAGCGGAACAATGCTGACTCATTACCAACCTTTAAATAATAGTTTTAAACTTTCTCCTAAACTTGTCCAAACAAAAAAATACTTTTAAGGTGCAGATACATTCGGTGAAATTTAAATTGCGAGCTCTTTGCAAAAGAGGACATTCGTCTATTAGATTTTGGGGCAAGTCGTTTGTTGTTTTCACTTGGTTTTTATTTTAGTTTTTTTTTGTTTAGGAGATGGTTATGCGCGGGATTTTATAAGAGTAATATATTCTATTGAGAAAGTTGATTATTTCTGCAATATTACGCTTACATGCCCATACATAAGTGGTAATTATTCTGATTACTTCCTATTTACTCCTAATTGAACAGTAAAAAATACCGGATGAATTTAATAATAAAAATATTATAGTAGGACATAACGGAAAATATTTTCCGTATTAAATTTTGTTAATTTTTATTTTAGGTATGTTTAGTTTTAGTGAAGTATTGCCGCAAGAAATTTGTTCAAGCAGTTTTATTATCTGAATCTAATTTTATTATCGCTATAAAACTTTAACTTCTCTTTAAAAAAATTGTAATTTTATGCATATTTTTCTACTTCCACCTTTAAAATGCCCATTATCGTACATGTTTCCATGATACTAAAGCCTGATTTATAGATTGTCTTCCTTCCTCCCGTAAAATATGAACAATACGATTGTATTGTTCATCTTCTACGGAAGGAAGGAAGGAAGGCAATCTATAAATCAGGCTTAAGTGAACTTTTAAATACACATTGACAAGTTGTGGCTTCATGGGGTTTTAGTCACGGGCTGAAGTTAGATGTCAAATGTCATACAATCATTAATTAAAATAATTTTCCTATTATTTTACAAGAAGGGCACTTAAGTGCCCTTCTTGTAAAATAATAGGAAAATTATTTTTCTACTCCCACCTTTAAAAGTTGTCAAATGTCATACAATCGTTAAAATAAATTGGCTTTCTTGTAAAATAATACCAAATGTGAAAATTATTTTATTATCCCAATACAAAAATACAAAAGTATTAAATAGTTTCTCAACGCCAATATTTGAAATGTTTATATGAACATTGTACTGACCTTTTAATTTCGCCGGAAGTAAACTATAACTTAAATTGGGCAAGGACTCCACTGTAAAGTGCTCATAAAACATTTTCTTTACTTTCACTGAAAAACTGTCAATTTTCAAGAAATACATTTCGATTTATAACCTTTATAATTGTGTTTATAAAATATAAAAATGTGACATTTGACGGTGACACACAGATTCCCCTATTGTTTCATAGATGGCGCTCTATACAAATTTTTGATTTAAATCATTTTAAGATAAAAATAAGTATTTGTCGTAGAAAAAGTATAGTATGCACCTCGTTTATAAACTTTTCTATACACTCATTAATTTAAGCACTCGCTCGCAAGTTCGCTCGTGCCTAAATTAAATTCGTGTATAAAATGGCGTTTATCAAACTTGATACATAATATCCTATTATAGACAATCATTTAAATCTGTGACTAATATGGCATTTACCAAACTTGATACATAATTAAAGTAACCAGATTCTGTCAAAAAATAGAGGGGCATTTTGTGTAAATTAACCTTAATTACAAAAATGACACAATCAACAATAATTAAGTAACGTCAAATTTATAAATAATATAATATATAAAGGTGTTTTTGATTATAACATAATCTAACATAACTAAAAAAAGTATTATTAAATACCTATGTATACCTACTTATTCTTACCTACTTTATACTTTTTTGTAGACATGAAGGTGCAAATGTATTTATTAAAGCAATGAAGAACATTTTATTGGTGATAATGCTCGTCATTTTAAGTTGCCAATGGTGCTCAGCAAACAATTTAAATTATGCAACTAAAGTATCCATTATTCAACCAAAGAAACTTACCATTTACGATATAGCAGCTAGAAGAATCATCTCAGTTTGGGATGCAGTTATTGGAAGAAATAACAACGAAGGAATTATAGGTAATATTTATGTTTATAGTAAGTTAAATCTGACAGCTGTCAAAAGATTCTAACCCTACTTTTGAATTATTTCCCTATACTTTTTATTTAAAATGGCCACAAAAATAGTAAAAAAAAAGAAAAAGTATAAAACTTTCTTTCTAAAATTAATTTTTATAAAATAATTAAACGAGATTATTTTTAATCTTCCATTTGTCTCGGTGAACAATAAAAAGAGAAAATTGGTTTTATTAGGCTTCTCTCTGTTAAAAGTGCGTTATTAAAGGAAAACAGATGAATTTCGCTTATAAGACTTATAAATATAATAATTAAAAAGATGAAACGTTGTAGTTATGGAAACCGCGGTTTCCATAACTACGCGCGCTTCAAGCTTTACCGTACAATTTGTTTCGTGTTTCGTTTTAGAGAAATTATTTCTTTTCACTTAGATATTATATCCGCTTCCGCAATTATACGCTAAAGAAGTATCATTTCAATTCAGTAATAATCGTCAAACAAATAAGTCGTCTAAATTTAAACAGCATTTAGCATTATTAAAAGCGTTGATTAAGAATTCTTTAAAATCTCCACCCAACGGTAAAATACCATTATATTTTGTATTATATATAATATTATGTTGCCATGAATTCGTAGGTATATTTTGTTGTTTAAAATGCAGTTGTCGGCGTTTTTTAGAGAACTCAAATATAAAAATGGTTGATTTTAAGGTTGTTTGTCTAAAAATTATTTTTTACTAATTTCTTAAAAATGTCCAAACTTAAATATAAATTATATTAGGTAAAGTTATCATTAGTTAATTCTGCACCAACAAATGTACTTACCGAATTGGATCCTTTGGCAGAACATGAAAATGCAACGATTTAGTTCTTGAATTTTATTTAAAATTAAAAACACAATAATTCACCATGATCCCTTAGATAAAATACACACACTAACGTAACTATATAAGCATTTAAGCGTTGAGTTTCTTAATCAATGATATAAAGAATAATCAATCGAAATCGAGTACTAAACCAGTTTTTTAGTTTTTTCCTTGCAACGTAAAACACAAATAACGTGCGCGATTTAGCTGTGCAATTGAACAAAATTTGTCGAGTAAGACTTTCTTTTGTGAAAAAACTACCTATTTATTTAAAAATGGTGCACAGTTATATAAAAAATTATAGAAAATTGATTAAAAAAATGCTAATTACATTTTTATTTTTTAGGTCGGTGTTTTGGTATGGCCAGAAAACTAAAAATGCTGATGCCGCTAATGATCTTTAAACTAGGAGTGATTGTTACCATTTTAGTGTTTCTAACGATATTTTCCCTGAAAAGTTTGGCACTTTTAGTGGGGCTTATTGTAATGAATGTGGGGGGTATAGCTTCAAAGTTTGCCCTGCTTAAACATGATAGCGGGGGGCACAGTCCCCCCCAAAATGTGCACTTTCATATACATCCTGGGAAGGATGGAAATTTCCATAGTGCCCCTAGTGCACCCTGGGATCGCATGGAGGATGAGGGGTCTTTTGAATCTACAGGGTCTTCAAATTTGTATAATAAATTGTTAAGAAATCCTAATTTTAAGAGTAATTTAATTTACCATGATAGTTCTAATATGTATAATTACACATAGCCAGCTGGTAAATATTTGTATATTTATTTATTTATATTATTAATTGTAAATAAAGTAAGATTAAAAAAACAATTAATTCTTTTATTGATTTTAATAAATTGGCAGTGTTAACTGATATTATTTTGGAAATATTTCAGCGGGGAAATCAAAATTTATTATTAATGATAAATGATAAAAAAGTCATGAAAATTTTATAAAATAGTTCCTTTACATATTTGCAATAATGGCGAATGCGCCGGGATTTTACCTACATAAGAACCTTTTTGATTGTTTATAAACACCACAAATTTACGTAAAAATAACGCTATAATTACTAACTGTTTGCTCTCTCTTTCTAAAATATTGACATTCGTAATGTCTTTGTACTTTTAATTTATATTTTACAAAATGGTACTTACAAAGTAATAAAGGCCATCCTAGAGTAAAATAAATTGTCAAAACTAATAATATTTTGCATTAAAACGCACATTATTTTATTGATAAGAATAGGCACGATACATCTTAAAAATTATATGCCCTCTAAATATATTACGGTTTTAAGAAAAATTATTGCTTGGGTAAAAATTCAATAAAACTTAAAACCTACAAAATTTTATAAAATCGTTTAAAAATCGTTTAGTTTTAATCATTTTTTAATAACTAAAACTTTCCTTATTATATTTTAGAAAAATATTTATGAAAAAATATTTTATAACTGTTTAGATAACTAATGGATGCAATCTTAAAAAAACATTATGGCGACCTGAAAAACATTTTTCCTTAAAGTTTTATTTTTCATTTTAAGCTTATTTTTCCTTATTTAGTCAATATTAATAGTATTTATTACCACTAATAACCCTAAAAATACCAGGCGAATAGAAATTGTTTACGGTTATAAAGTGGTCTTAATATCCTAAAATTATGACTTATGAGTAACATTTACCATTAACTAAAAATTCTGACGTTAAAATTACCGTTAAATTTTCCTTTAGGTGAAATACACTTATAAGTAATTTTCTTTCGTAAAAATTACGTCCCTCATAATACTTTAAAGTTTTGAAACTTTAGGGTTATTAAAATAGTTAAAAATAACATAAATAAAACTTATTAAATAACTTTAAAAAAAGTTTTCCCTCAAAGTAAATTTTTAAGGTTAATTTAACAAAATATTTACTTAAATTAGGTAATATTACTTAAAATTAATATTATGCCCTATTTAATATGATATTATGATAAATATCAATTCCTGATAAACAAAATAGGTCCTTTTATTAGTTGCAATAATGGCGAATGCTCCGGGGTTACACTGGTTAAATTCGGGTTTATCTTAAAAACTCATTATAGACCAGGCGGAGAAAGCACATATTATAGCCGAACATACATTAGGAGATCGTCAGCCAGTATGTTAGTGTAAAACGGTGACGATCTCCTTACCTTAAAAGAATTTGGGGGCTGCAAATCTTCACCATTTGCTGAACAGTACGTTGAACAATCAATTACACTGTTCAAAATTTCATGACCATTTTAACACCAAATTAACACCATACATGGTCTACATCGATACAAACCAAAATGGTGTTAAATATGGTTTGTTGGTCCGGTGTAAATTCAAATACTAAAATAGTGTTAATTTAACTTTCACACAGTATTAAAATAAATTTTCCCTGGTGTAAATTTAACTCCCTTTCAGTGTTAAATATTATGTGTTTGTGGTCAAATTAAATCATACTACACAGAAAAAAGGAAAAAAAGGACGCATTACTAGTAAATTACCAGTGGTAATATTCCAGAAAATGGAACCTTCAACTCGCTAGAGATAATGTTTATAGTGCGTTCCACTAACTTAAAATACTTCAAGTATTGACAGCTGTTTCGAACAACTTGTAGTGTCACACCAAAGCAAAGGACTACCTGAGCTTATATATTCTTCATGTAAGTTAACAGAGGCGAGATTTAAGAACATCACGTGATCCACACCGCCTTTGCCGCGATCGGTACACACTATACAACCGGGAATGCACGGCAAATTGTTTTATTCGTTTTAACAGAGTGCTTTAGGTTGAAGTAACTCTTATTTTACAAACAACATATTTAGTAAAGTGAACCATACAGCGGGTTGGTTTCACTAAAGTTTTCTGGGTTAATTTAACCAATTTAAAAAAAATAAAATAACTATCTGGTTTAGTACCGTCAGACTAATCTTTGTTTATATTAACCTTCCCACAGTTGATAAAAAATAAAAAAAAATACAAAAATAAATACTTATGGGTCAACTAAATTAATATAGTTAAATGAACTATTCCGTTTTTCTGTGTAGGTGCACTTCTCAAATATTTTTAGATAAACACCGTTTTGGTGTTTGCTGTATATAACATTTTCAACCATAATTCATGGTGTTATATTAACACCACTTGGTGTTGGATTTTGACACCATTTGAGGAGTGATTTTTCAAAAGGCCTTATTTCCATTTTTACTTGAATGTAATTTTTTGACAAAATCTCAAAGGTATGGTTAAAAGGCATATGTTAACGGCGAAATATGACAGCAGGTCTGAAGTATTATTAAATATACATCAGAATTTTTTTTTAAATAATCTATATTGCCCTAACCGGTTATAGTAATTTTTTTGAAAAATTGTTGCAAATGGAAATCACTCCTCATTTTAAGATTACTCTTTACACCACAGATATTTTAAACAGTGTACTAAGATCAACGGAGAATGATTCTTTAACATCATCCTGAAGTGATAGCGTAGAAAGAAAAATAGCAGAAACGGTCGATGTAAATCCCACAACATAGATATTGTCCTTTCTAATATCAACAACTGCGTAATTAGCTTCAAAACCTGCTCTCATTCTACCTAAATAATAATCCTAACTACCTCTCTAACAGCTATTAAAGGTAACAAAGGTCCATTTTTATCCCGTTCTGCCTATTTAAACACTTTGGCATTTTAAATATAGGAAAAACAAAAAAACGGCAATGAAAACCTAAACGATATAAAATAACACAAAAAAGAAACAAAATAAACGAAATTATACACGAATTAAACGAAATATTCAAAAACACAACTGACAGCTTCAAAATTCTAAAACGTCAATTTCTTTTTCTATGCGTCATTTTATTTTAAGCAAAATTTTAATCTAAACACGACAACATTGCAAATGCTGCTAACTAAAGTTGTTTAAAATGCATTAAAATATTCAATTACAGACTTCGTTTTATACATTTAGTGTTGGTACCAGTGCGCAAAATTATGACGTCATCGATGACGTGTACGTCGTTTTCTTTTAAATTTAATATACGTTAAATTTGTAACTTTGTATTGATACGCCGCTGAACATATCACCGCGGCGCCACCAGTTTAATGATGTCAATAGACCTATCCCATAAAACAGACTTTTGGATAGCGCGTGCCTGAAGAAGAGTGGTATCTCTTTCTCTTTTATATAATTAAAAAAAGACGACGTGCCTTTTCACGCACGCGCTATCCAAAAGTCCGTTTTATGGGATAGGTCTATTGTTACAAAACAAAAAAAAGTATTTAGCATACCAAACAATTTTTTCGCTGTTTTGTTTTTTTGCTTCGGCAAATTCCAAACATCTTAAATATTTAACTTTATAAATAATTAATATTTCCTGCTCAAAATAAGAAGCTTGGACGGTAAAAGTTAAAAAACTTGGAAATGCGCTGAGATACAATCCTATTAATAAAATAGATGACATTTACCTCTTAATAAATCACGTTTCCTACCTATTTAATGACGTAACTACGCGTTGGTTGCTATGCAGTAAAAGGCAATTATTTTGCGATCTGTTATTTTTTCCTTATTTTTCATTTAAGTGGGACAACGTTTGTGTGAAATAGTAGTAATATTATATATGGGTGATTCTACAAAAGTTGGACAACTAGATGTCATCAGTCAATAGAGTAGGTATTTTAATATTTTGTTGTAAATATTTTAGTATATTACAAAAGATCCAGGTTTTTTTTAACTTGTCCACCCAATTTTAATCTATTTTTTCAAAAGCACGTTTGTAAAAAACAATAAATATTCAAAACATCAATACCTTGGCGTGTCACAACTCCTGAATCAAATATTTTAGTGATTCACTACAAACTATAAAACATTAAATAATGTATTTTTCATATTTTATCATAGATTCGAATAATAGCAATTTTTAAAAAATTGATAATCTTTGTACTCACTTTTACCCGTCAGTTCTGTGTCCAATGTTAAAATTCAAAATTCCTGCGAAATATTTAAGTTTAAACGTCAAGTCGTCGTTTTAACTCAAGTGTTGGTAAAAAATTACCTACAGATCCCGCCCTTTGCACGACAGTCATCTTGAAAACAATAGAAGCGGCGAAGTTGTGGTGAATGCACGTATAGTTCCAGTCAAAATTTCAGTACTGTGGTGAGTAGTTATTTTCTTTCGTTTGTATATTTCATTGTATTTTATATAAGGCTATATGTGATTTGTTGATAAGTAGCATCCACTAATAAAAAAATCAGTAAAATACTTAATTCCGAATTATAATCTCAAATTTGTATCCCATTCATCAGTACCGTGTCGTCAGTTCCATGTTCGATGTTTCGGTTATCTTTTTTTCGCAAACTTCAATTTAAATTTTGCTTGCGCAGAACTTGTTTATTTAATGTCATTATAAACTCATATAAACTTGGTGTGGGTCCCATATCTAATAATTGAGATATCGGTATACCCAAAATCCACCAGCCGCCACTGATGTGTGGTATTATTTGATTTTAAGATATTTAATGTATAATATGCTCAAAGTTGCAATAAATCTTATATTTTCCAATAAATTATGTATTTAATTAGTACCCTGGTATACTCGTCACTTCCCTTGCATTCAAATTTAGAAAACACAGATGTTTCAGAAACTGTTTGAAAAATTTACTGGCCCGGTCTGGAACAGTATATTTATTATATTATCTATGTTCTCATATCAAAATACTGTTTAATTTTCTCCGAAAACTATATAAACAAAATGAGGTCAAAA